TAAAGCTGTACTGAATTATTTCTAAAGCTATACGGTTGATTTTGTTCTGAAACAACATCTAGTGATTCGACCAACTTCTTAAAATCTTGTCACGTCAACTTCCAAAGTCACGCGAAGACGTAATGCCTTCTGATTGGATAAAAAGCCTCATCACATGGGCGTTCGAAAGAGTTGAACAACTTAAGTTGATTTCCATGAGGTTAAGGCTGTTTTTCACATTTTAGCGCTCAAGGCGATCAGATGGTTTACAGCTGAAGGTGAGCTGCAAAAGGCAAATTGGGAATGTTTATTGTAACTATCTGAAATAACTGTGACTGATGCACTGATGGGTATAGTCGTGTAAACTGTTAGATAAGACAAATCGTTCTGGGCACTCTTTTCAAAGTTACAGGCGGTAGTGCTCATCGATTTTCCAAGCTCATGTCTTGGAAGGTCTTCGATCAAATATGATGTACACATTTCAGCACGAATCTTATCATTTTGTCCAGTTTACGTAAAATCTGCGACGTTTTACACCTTTTATTTTGAGAGACGTTTGAAACTTCATGTGTCGCTAATCTTAAAGATCGATTTGTCAGTATGGTAATGGCGTTATTCTTCACGAGGCAAACTTCCGAAAACTCACAGTCGAAAGGCTTTCACTGAATCGACCTGTCTGTCTCACATTTAATGACTGACTTATGTGTGTGGGATGTATAGACTCCGTTGTGGTGTGTATATCGTGCAAGTGTTAATTTTCTAGGTGGTCAACTCGTCTAAATTATTTTATTTTGTCCTGGCTAAAAAAATCGCTCTTAATCTCCTTAAAGATATGTGAACGGTTTTTCCTTTCCTTTCTTTTTTTTTTCAAGCGATAACAGCAACAACATCTTACTCAATAGTCGATTTTATATTCAGGGTATGGTCTTTTATATCAGTTGAAAAGTGTGAAGAACAAAGTAAAGGAAAAAACCTATGAATCGCCATACTCAACAGCGGCTTGATGTTATGTCACGCTATGTGAAAATCAGTAGTCACGCGATTAATAAAGATGATAACCAAATCTAATTGGATGAATGCCTGACCACGTGCACGTCTAGAAGAAGTAATCGATCTTAATAACTTTCTTAACATTTAGAGTTTATTAGACAGCATGATTGTACTCGATCAGAGTTGTAGCTGAGCAAGAAAAAAGGTGAGAAAGAAACGGTTCATTGTTAATTTGACACATATAGGAATGATTTAGTGATACAAATTGTCGATTGTTCACCTTCAACGAAGGCTCTCTTAACACTCTTTTATATGCTCTATGAACGCGGAAGTATATTTTGAATTCCCTACCAAACATTTGTAGAAATGTTATACATCAGATAAAGTATATCGCAGATCAGACTGGACTCCTCTTTATGAACTGGGCATTCCAATCGAACAAGATTATTTTCTGCATTTCTGTATGTATTGAAATAAGCGCCCTGCAATGAAATTTCTAAA